AGGAGGGACAGAGGTGGAGAGCAAGAGGGTCGGAAAGACAGGAGAAAAAAGGCAGTGAAGGCAGTCAGGGAGAGAGGGAAGGAAGGAGGGAGGGAAGGAAGGAGGGAGGGAGGGAAAGAAGGAGGGAGAGAGGGAAGGAAAGAGGGAGGGAAGGAGGGATGGAGGGGGAGAGCAAGAGGTACGGAAAGAGAGGAGAAAGAAGGCAGGGAAGGCAGTCAGGGAGAGAGGGAAGGAAGGAGGGAAGAGGGGGAGAGTGAGAGGGAGGAAGAGAAGAGAAAGAAGGCAGCACAGGCAGGGGAGGAAGCGGGACAGGCAGGGGAGCAGGGAGAGAGGGAGGAAAGGGAAGCGGAGCAGAGAGGACCCACTTGGCAAAGAATCCACATCTGGACAAGATGGAAAGGGACATAAGAGATTTCATCACATTACTTAGAATGGCCTGTGATTTTAAGCTTATGAATTGTTTATGTCCAGAATTTTCCATTTGATGATTCCAGACCGAGGCCAGCTGCAGGTAACTAAAACCAGAGAAAGCCCAACTGCACAGCTGGAGGCTTCTGTGCTCCACCCAGAGCTGCTGTCCTCACAGCGTCTTCACTAAGGCCAGCGTCCCCTGTTCGTGTGGCACTAGCCAGGACAGGAGCGTCACTGGTGCCCGTGACTGCACGTGGGGCAGCGGGCAGGCTGCTCACCTGTAGGAGTAGAATGTGAAGACCCCACTGTGGCTCAGCTTCGCGCCTCCGCCATAGGCGCCCCCTTTCTCTCGAATTTCCATGTGCAGGAATTTAGCAGTCATTAAACGTGCCAGGATCTTAAGGCTGAAATGAATGATTAAAAACTCTGGTTAAAAACGACTCAGCCAGCAGGAAAGTGCTAACGTCCTGTATACCACAAGTGATCACGAGATGTCCAGACTACACCTGAGGGAAGCCAAAAGGGGGGAGAGTCAGGCTGTGACGTAACGTGTGCACCAGGGTCCCTGTGGTTTCTTTTTCTTTTTTTTTAGACAAAAAGAAACAGCAACCTCGTGAGCACAGTGTCCAGCCCAACTTGGGCCTTCCCTGCTGGAGAGCCGACCCTGCCCCAGACACTGGCACTCAGCAGTGCTCACCACGCACATACTCACGACAGAGCAAAATGGTTATTAATTTTTACTGTGAGGCCACATGCACAAATGACCACTTAAATGTCTCATCTCAGAATACGGATAAAAAGTTAAGTGAGCCCCTGGGGAGACTGCCACATGTGCACTTAGAAAACACAGACCCCGACAAAGCCCACCCCTGCTCCCCACGCCTGCTCTCCTGCCAACTCGCGCTGGGGATGGTGACGGCCAATCTTCTGGAGAAAAGGTGGTTCTGGAAACCTTAGGTCTTGGCTACCCTGTGGGGGTGCTGCCCCTCCCTCATCCGGCCACTGGGGCACACACATCCACTTGGACTGGCTGTGTCTGGCTTCTGCTCTCCCCCCCCCCGCTGGGCCGTGTCCAAGTCCCTGGTTCTGTCCACCCTTCTCAGTCAGTCTGGCTGCCTGAGACATTGGCACAGGAGTGGCTTCTGGGAAACACCTGCGCAGTGACAGACCTATGGTCTTTTCTCTTGGTTCAACAGTTTTCCAGGAACGGGCACAGGCACAGGCCAGCCCCAGAGCAGAGGGAAGCGCCTCCCTGCTTCCTGTTTGGGGCACAGCTGTGGCTGCTGCTGCTCAAGCCAGCATCACCCACTGAACAGCGCACTCTGAGCATCAGACATGGGCCGGGGGCCTAACCTGAGTGGGCTCTGGGACAGGCTCAGGTTCCCAGCCCTACCCCAGTCCTGGCTCTCAGACACATGCCTGTCTCAATCCTGCAGTCCCTGGGGCCTGTGGCACAGCCCGAGCCTCCCTGTCCTGCAGGCCTCAAGGACAGGCTCCCCACACATCTTCACCCGGCCCCCACCCCACGCTCCTCCCTGTGCCTTCCACGCCTGCTGCTGGGCTGTGGGCTCCTGGAGGGGCTGAGCGTAAACACCCAGGCTCAGCCTGCCCCACATGTCAGCAAGGCTCACCCGACTCTGTGCCACTTCACCTGCAGATGAGGTGAGCAAACTGTCTGTGACAAGAGTTTGTGTTTAGGCCTTATCTGTTTTTCTGTTATAGGATGTGAGGAGTACCAGTCTCTTACAAAAACAGCTACAAAGCTGGGCATTCTCTTCATAATGACCATTTGGATCTATAGTCTGAGTTTCTGCCTTGAACTCCCAGCTGGGTGTAGTCTGGGAAGAGCCAGACCCTGTAGGTGGCAGAGCAGCAGCCTGTGACCCGGCATCCAGCACTCGAGTCAGTGTGAAAAACAGTGTGAAACCATCTAGCACTCGAGTCAGTGTGAAACCTCCCATGAGGAACAGTGTGAAACCATCCAGCACCGGAGTCAGTGTGAAACCACCCAGCACCGGAGTCAGTGTGAAACCACCCAGCACCGGAGTCAGTGTGAAACCAC